CCATCCCCGCCTCTTCGACCTGTTTGTTTCCTCTCCACCTATCCTCTCCTCTATCCCTCTTCTATCCGCCTCCCACTCTCTCCCTATTTATTTCAAAACCCCCTTCCCCTCCCCCTTTTCTGATGAAGGGTCTAGGCCCGAAACGTCAGCCTCTCTGCTCCTATGATGCTGCTTGGCCTGCTGTGTTCATCCAGCCCTGCACCTTGTTGTCTCGGATTCTCCAGCATCTGCAGTTCCTACTATCCCTAACTCCATTAATCTTGTTTCCAATAAATGTAAATTTGCTACCAGACCTGCACATTCAGATAACAATTCAAGTTTTCCTGAATGCATCCACTGCAATTACTCCCAGCACACTCTGCAGCAATGCATTCCAGATTGCAGTTACTCAGCATGCTGTTAGGGAAGCAGAGAGGATGCAACTGGGGAATCAAATGGATTTCCTGCTTTTACAATCCTGGAGAACCTGAAAAACAGGTGAACTTTAAATTGGGTTTCTACCTGCATTGTGGGAAGCTGTATGAATTATTTAATGACAATGACTCACTTCAGTCACTGACATTACCATTAGTTAAGGGGACATATTCTCTATTTTGTTAGCTATCTACCCTTTGGCTCTCTCCTGCCCATCATTAGGGCAGGATTACCATGGACTTAAGTCTTTCACAAATGAGTTCTGCAAACTAATTTTACTTCTACTTTTGGAGATATCTTAAAACAGCAAATATGAACTCTATTGATGACTACCATTAGTGACGGAACTTAAGTTCTCCTTTAAGACTGTAGCCTACTAAAATCGAAATGTTTTTAGGACTTTATGCTGGTTTTGTCTATAAATCACATGTTTGGTGTTGCAGCTTAGAAAACAGAAGGATCTCATGCTGGTAAACCTCATCAGAATAGGAGTTCCATTACAGAAACAATCTTTGTAAAGAAGCACCTTATACTGTAAACCACACAGAATACTGTCATGAACATGTATTGGAGTTAGAAAGCTGAAAAGGAACTAAAGTTTTGAAAATGAGTGGCACATCTAAAACAATATAACCTGCCGTTTACCTACACTGATGCTCACTAACCTTCTGCCTATATGGAGAATTCATTTTTTATTTCTAAACTGGAGCAGTGATCACTTTCTGTTATGTTTTGATTTTCATTAGACAAAGACAGTCATTTTTGCCAAAAACGCACAGTGGACATCCGGAGACAAAATGAAGTCTCACAAATACCACTAAAACAGTTCAGATACAAATAATTTCCTTCATTACAGATCATCTCATCCTCTACAGAAACCCTACTGCTTCCACACTGGAGATGGTTAATAGTTGCTATCCTTGCCAGAAAATTCCACCTCCCAAGAATGAAAAGAAAACACCGTCTACTTGGTTTTTTAAAAAATAAATTGTGACACCAATAACTTTTCTTGATATCAGAATGAAGAAATACTTTGCAATACCTTTCCTAAAAGCAAGATGATGCATTTACAGAATATCATTCCTCTAGGGAAACATTACAAGGTTTTCAGAAACTCCAAATTAGATCAAAATCGATGCATAGCCCCGAAGGAGATATTAGGAAGTGTCTCTACGAGCTTGCTCAAAGACCTTCAGGAAAAGTATCAAAGGAAGAAGATTTAGGAAAGGAATTCCAGATCTTAGGACCTAAACCCGCTGAAGGCACAGTCTCACCAGTGGCAGGTCAACAGTAAAGGGAGATGCATAGAAGTTAAAGCTCAATGTATGGAGTTTGAAGAGTTGTACAACTGGGCAATGTTACAGGGAAGGGTGAGCACATGAAAGGATTTTAACATGAGAATCAGTATTTCAAATCTGAAATCTTGGATGACATAGCGCCAATATAGGTCAATGAACACAAAGGTGTAGGAGACAGAATCTGGTATAGAATAAAGATGATACATACTCAGTGATGAGTCAATACTCTGACATATTTTCTGATTTCCTCCTTAGCAAGTTCTATCTCAATTAGAGTGCTAGTGTCTCCAATTATTAGATGCCCTCAATAGAAGAAATTAGAAAAGAATGATCGAAGAAAATTTAAACCTGAACACTGAAAAGAGACAAACAGGAACTCGTGGTACAAACGAAGTAAATATTATGAAATTCTCCAATCTGGAACTGTGTTAAAGAAACAATCGGTGAAACATTTGTATCAAAGTAAATATAAAGATAATGACAGTCACAATTATTTATGCATAAGTGGCTCAGAGAGGAGTAGATGAGCACTGAAAGGTAAGTATCCAAAAGTTGCTGTCTTGGTTACATTGTTTCATTGGTGGCTACCAAACAAAAACAATATTTCACTATCTACCTCATCATTGACATGCACAGAATGTCATAAATTGCTCCATTTTATGGTAGTTGTGAATTAAACCCATAAATGCAATTTTCGGCTGCTAAAGCAAGTACCTATTTAGTGACTTGACAATTGTCACTGTTAATCAATCTCTCTGACAGTGAAAATTAGCCATTACAATAGTCAAGTTTTCAATTTTTAATGGAGATATTAAAAATGCATTTCTTACTTTTCTGATGCTTTTATTTTCCTTAAATTAATCTTTTTTTGTGTCTTTCATTTGATGTAAATCACTCTAACTTACCCTACTTCTCAGACACATTCTTTGTTTTGTAATCATGAAATAAAATTGGTTGAGAGATACTTTTGGTTGCCCTGTTCACACAGCTCCAGATATCTTGTTTCTGTTGCTGCATTATCAGCTCCATATTTTGTCCATAAAGTTGACGAAAGTATTTCTAAGCTACAAGGCACAGAGACAACTTTATCTAGCAGATGATGGTACATGCCTTGCTACATCTGAATAGATCCATTGTATCAAGGGCAAACACTTTCCTTCCACCATCACAAACAGTCTCTCCATATCTACCCATCTTAAGTCTTAGGATGACGATATGTTTTAATATTGTACTTACCATCCATAGCCATTGCTTCTCTCAGAACTCGCAATTTCCTCTGTCGTTCTTTAATCCTTTCATAAGCCCCTGAAAGAGCTGATGAGGTAGAAAGTTGTGATGTTGGAGGAGGACTCTGAAAACCTAGTGTAGTTGGCACTTGCCCAAGGTCTCTGTACTTTGGTTCTCTGGCTTGTGTGATGCTCTTAATCGGTCTGCCTTTTCCCAGTGGAGAAAAGTTTCTTTGAGGAGTATTATCCCCAGAGGATATCACTTTGCTACCATACAGATCCAAATCAACTGCTGAGGTCCAGAGCTTCCGATGACTAGAATCGTCAACAGAATTCTGCTTCCTATCCAAACAGTTAGGTCTGGATCGAGCCTTGTTGTACCTTTCCACTGTATCTTCTTGTCCAGAGGCTGTGTGGTAAGACTCCATATCTGATTTCTTATCGGTAATCGCCAAAAATCCCATAGACTTGCTAAGTCCTCGATTAAGTAAGGCCGGTTCACAGCATTGTGCTTTGTACTTTTCTGTTCCCTTAGGAGTTTCTTTCTTATTTCTTTCTGGAAAAATAAAACAAAATAAATTATATGTTAGCTTATGAGCATATAGCTGAACATGATTTCTTAATGGAGATAAGCATCCATGAATGCAAGACATCTGATATACCAATAGAAAATGTTTGATATTAGTAGCAACTTTTTTTTAAAATCTAAAACGATTATCCACTTTATCCTTCAAGATTCAGGCCGTAGATTTCCACTACTTCATTTGAGACAAAAATCATAATGTCATCATGAAATGACAACAAGCTTTGCAACAGAATTTGTGATAAGAATAACAGTCAAATGATTAGCTCTCAACTTAAACAGTTAGCTGAAAACAATTCAAGGCATCGGTTTAGGTGCAGTTAAACACATAAGTCTGGAAGTTGCTGTTCAAATTGCTGTATTTCTTTACACTGGTTATTTTACTGAGAGATAAGTATTCAAACAGATGAAGGATGAGAAGTTCTGGGACCCACAAGTAGGTATGCACTAATAACGTCAGATGAAGTTAGTTAGGGCCTGCCCACTCAAACACGAGGGAATTTTTAATAGTTTGATAAGCCCTAATTACTATAAAACAATTTCTCTGGGACTGAAAATATACTTTTCATACTGCTGAGTCATTTCTTCTAATCTTAATTATTGCTGAACGGTTTTAAAAACTGTTCTTTCTCAGAGATGTTTCTTTTCTTCTCTTTAATTCACTTTCTTTACATGATTCTACATTTAATGAAATATATTTTTATTACACTTCCTACTTTAGACTGTGCATGCCTCAATACGCATTTTTTAATCTGATCAGCTGAGGAGAAATGCTGTTGTATACCCTGTTCACACACTTCTCAGATCACCTGTACTTTACTGTTTCACAGACTTGCCAACCTCTCTAAATCTCAAGAAATGTCAACTGTCAATGCAACAAACAGCCAGCTATGGCATCTGCTGCCAACTGCACATTAACCTGAATTTTGCAAGCAGAATGTGAAATATACTGTACGCTTCTACAAAGTTGTTTCCATTCTTTAGGTTTTAACTGGACAAAGATGCACTGCTTAAAATCCAGACTAAAGACAATTGAAATTAGATTAATCAGGCTGGCTGTATTAAATCTGCAATGCCTCCCAATACATTTATCTTTTTAAAATAAATTATTCTTAACCATCTAAAACAATTCACTGTAACAAGTGCATCACAAGAATCACATTATTGCAATTTATAGAGAATGATTAAACTCCAAGGATGCAATTTACATGAAAAAGAATCAATTTTTGACTTTAGAAGTCTTAAGTAAACATTTTTACCGGTGTCATTTGCCATTTTATCTGAACATTGGTACTATAAATTGTCTTAATCACCAATGCATAATGACTTGAGGAGCAGAGGGAAAGTTCAAAACAATGACTACTGGCCATATGTAATAAATACTGCAATTTCTTCTTGTTCTCCATGACTGTAGCTCATCAACTTGACATTTTCTCACAAGAAGTGACTGTATACAGGATTCTGTAGAAAACTTTTCAAATGTATAATTCTCAAACTATATCAGAAAAAGTAGAATAGTACTTAGGAAGATTGTACTTATTTGTGAACTCATATGCTCCTTAATTCAGCCTTCCCAGAAATAAAGGTCTCATGCTCCAAGTCTATACGCCAGATGCTGTTTATATGGATTTTTTCTGTTTTTAGGATTTAGTGATGTATCTTTTTAGCAGTATTGCTACATGGATTGAAATTCAAACTGGTACAACTTCTAAGCAGTATCATCAATATCAGATTTAAAATGACAAATTTGCATTCCCATTTTTTAGGAACAGATAAGAAGGTATAAAGAAAATTTATCACAGGTCGTTTTGCCCAAATAACTACTGAAATTTACATCACAGGCAATATAGAATGTCCACAATGTAATCCCACAATCTCCCCATATCTATTATTCCCCTTGGTTTAGGAGAAGAACACCAAAGAGATGACCACTTTCATTCAGCATATTTCCAAAACCTGAGAAAGTTTTTCCATGTTATCTCACGGGGAATGATCTACCACAAGCTCAGCTTTCAACTTACTCAATTCAGGTAGCATACTGTAACTTGATATGAGGTCTCAAACCATATCCAATGTTTGTAGCTGCTTTACTATACCATGAAACTGTAAGTTGCAATTGTATGTAGGATTTTATGTAGGTTGCTTTCTTTGCATTTCCTGCAGAATGCATTTGAAAGGCAGAACATGCATTTATAAATTTAGCTAAACCAGCAAACCTCTCAGTCAGCAATTGCTCAACCTACAAGCATTCCTAAATGCCTGAGCTGTTCAACTCAATAGGATAGATAACTGTTTTGACCAATGCTAACTTTATACAACAGTTTAAGCTTAAGGCCCATTCAAAATCTTATAGAAAATCATCATTCCATCCATTCCTACACATAGGAACATAGGAGATAAGAGCAGGAGGCAGCCATTCGGCCCTTCGAGCCTGCTCCACCATTCATTGCGATCATGACTGACCATCCAACTCAATAGCCTAATCCTGCTTTCTCCCCATAATCTTTGATCCCATTTGCCTCAAGTGCTATATCTAGCCATCTCTTGAATACATTCAAAGTGTTGGCATCAACTACTTCCTGTGGTAATGAATTCCAGAGGCTTATCAGTCTTTGGGTGAAGAAATGTCTCCTCATCTCCATCCTAAATAGTCTACCCCAAATCCTCTGTCTGTGACCCCTGGTTCTGGACAAACCCATCATCAGGAACATCCTCCCTGCATCTACCTATCTAGTCTTGTTAGAATTTTCTAAGTCTCTAGGAGATCCCACCTCATTCATCTGAACTCCAGCGAAAACAATCCCAACCGAGTCAAGCTCTCCTCATACATTAGTCCCGCCATCCCCGGAATCAGCCTGGTAAACCTTCGCTACACTCCCTCGAGAGCAAGAGCATTCTTCTTCAGAAAAGGAGGCCAAAACTGCACACAATATTCTAGGTGTGGCGTCACCAAAGCCCTGTACAACTGCAACAACACATCCCTGTTCCTGTACTCAAAACCTCTCGCAATGAAGGCCAACATACCATTTGCCTTCTTTACCACCTACATGCTTACCTTCAGCGACTGGTGCACAAGGACACCCAGATCCTGCTGCAAACTCCCCTCTGCCAATTTACAGCCATTCAGGTAGTGATCTGCATTTTTGTTTTTGCTCCCAAAGTGAATAACCTCACTCTGGGATGTAGATTATAAGGCCCTGGAGATTTATCCGCTTTCAATCCCATCAAGTTTCCCAGCACCATTTCTCTACTAATATTGATCTCCCTCAATTCTTCCCTCTCACTAAATCTTGCATTCTCCGATATTTCTGGTATCGGATTTGTGAACTCATTTGTGAAGACAGAAACAAAGTATGAATTCAGTTGTTCAGCCATTTCTTTGTCCCCTATTGCACATTCCCCCATTTCTGTTCGTAGGGGGCCTACATTTGTCTTCATCCAAATTATTATACTGCATCTGCCGTTGATTTGCCAACTCACCCAACCTGTCGAGATCATGCTGAAGGATCTCTGCATCCTCGTCACAGTTCACCCTCCCACTCAACATGGTATCATCTGCAAACTTTGAAATGTTACATTTTGTTCCCTCATCCAAATCAATATATATTGTGACTAGCTGGGGTCCAGCACCGATTCCTGTGGCACCCCATTAGTTACTGGCTGCCAATTTGAAAAGGACCCATTAATTCCTACTTTTTATTTCCTTTCTGCCAACCAGTTTTCTATCCTTCTCAATACACTTCCCCCAATCCCATGTGCTTTAATCTTGCACAATAATCTCTTATGCAGGACTTTGTCAAACGCCTTCTGAAAATCCAAATATACCACATCAACTGGCTCCCTCTTGTCAACTCTACTAGTTACACCTTCATAGAATTCCAACAGATTTGTCAAGCATGATTTCTCCTTCATAAATCCATGCTGACTCTCTGATCCTGCCACTGCTTTCTAAATGCTCCGCTATAAAGTCCTTGATAATGGATTCAAGAATTTTCCCCACTACCAATGTACTTACTGGTCTATAATTCTTTTTCTCTCTACCTCCCTTTTTGAATATTGGAGTGACATTAGCTACCCTCTAAGCTGCAGGGACTGTTCCAGCGTTTACAGAATCCTGGAAGATGCCCACCAATGCATCCATTATTTCTAGAAGCATATCCATAAGGACTCTGGGATGTAGATTATAAGGCCCTGGAGATTTATCCGCTTTCAATCCCATCAAGTTTCCCAGCACCATTTCTCTACTAATATTGATCTCCCTCAATTCTTCCCTCTCACTAAATCTTGCATTCTCCGATATTTCTGGTATCGGATTTGTGAACTCATTTGTGAAGACAGAAACAAAGTATGAATTCAGTTGTTCAGCCATTTCTTTGTCCCCTATTGCACATTCCCCCATTTCTGTTCGTAGGGGGCCTACATTTGTCTTCATCAATCTCTTTCTCTTCACGTACCTATAGAAACTCTTAGTGTCAGTCTTTGTTCCCTGCAAGCTTACTTCCGTACTCTATTTTCCCCTTCTTAATCAATCCCTTGGCCCTTCTTTCCTGAATTCTAAACTGCTCCCAATCCTCAGAATTATTTTTCTTGGCCAATCTGTATGCTTATTTCTTGGATCGGATACCATCTCTAATTTCTTTTGTAAGCTATGGATTGGCCCTCTTGCCCATTTCATTTTGTGCTGGACAGTAATAAACAGTTGTTGCAATTCCCCCATGCATTCCTTGAATGTTTGTCATTGCATATCCACTGTCATCCCTTTACGTAACTTTCCCCAGTCTATCAAGGACAACTCACACGTCATACCTTCATAGTTTCCTTTATTAAGATTCAGCACCCTAGTCTCCAAATCAACTACCTCACTCTCCATTTTGGTAAAAAGTTCTATCCTGCATTGACCTAGGCTTTCGTTTTGCCCGTCTTCAGAAAGATTCCTCTACAGTATAACTTTTTCCACAGCTGTATTTATTTAA